AAGGCGGCATGTCCCCCACACCCTCGGGGGTTCCTTCCCTATTTTCATGGCCAGAGCCACCCAGGGGTCCCGTTCTGGGGCATCCCCTGCTGACCCTGCGGCACAGGCGCTGCTTGCGGTGGTAGTGGGTACGAAGGTACCGCGGGCTGTGTTTGGAAACTCTGCAATTGTGTCGCTGGCAGGGGTATGAAGTATGAGGGCTCCCCGCCCCACTGGGGGTTGGCATAGATGGGCCGCCTTGTATTTGTGGTGGGAGGAGGCTGGGTGCGGCCCTCAGGCCCCCTCCCTTTCCCGTTTCCCTGGGGCCGGGACCTGTATTCTTTAATGAGATGCCTCTTCCTCCCGCAGCCCCAACAGGATATTTCTCCCCAGCGGGTAAACTGGGTTGGTTCATATTGTAGTTGTTTTTCGGTGCGGCTTAGAGCTTTACTTGGTTTTGTCTTAAATCGCGTTGGCTCTGTTTTCTCCGTCTCGAAGTTCCGGCCGGCTCCCGTCGGCTCTTCCGAGCCGGCGGAGCTGCTGCTGGGCTCCGAGTTGGAAGTCGAGTGCCGGCGCACTTCCGGGGCTCGGTGCCTTTTTGTCCGGCTCCGAGCTCGCTCCTCCCCGCGGGGGTGGCACCGCTCCCGCCCCCCGGCTTGCCCTGCCTCATGCAGGGGGTAGTCTCTCCCATACATGGTAGCTGCCTTCAGGCACGGCCGCCGATTGGCTCCACGCTCTCTGCCGCTCTCCTCCTCTTTCTCCTGCGCACGCGCGTCCCTGAAACCGCGCGCCTCCCGGGTTTTCGCGCTGAGACCGCCCGCGCCCCGCCCCTCTCCTTGGCGGCCAGCGCCATTTTCAAAGGGGTGAGGTGGCCGCGCGGCCAGGACTTTCTCCCGAGCCGCGGCCTCCGCGACTCTGGCTTCTCCTGCCAGCTCCTGCCAGAAGCATTCCGCGCGCTGCTGCATCTCCGGCATCGGGTCGCAGACCGGCGGCGGCGGCGGGACGGACGTGGAAGCCGCGGTTTTTCGGGGGGCTTTTGCAGCAGGGGTTGGGCTCTGATCTGAGGAGGGAGGTGACGCGCCGGGCCCCCCCGGGTCTCCGTTCCCGGGCGGATCGTCCTCAGGGACGGTCTGCGCTTCCGCCCCCACCCCGAGCCCGGGTCTAACTAATAAACACGCAAGCGCCGCGCTCCACGTCTCCTGCTCTTCAATTGCTCTGCGCGGGGCTTTCTCTGCTTTGCTCCATGCCTTAAGGTTCTTGCCACTGCCTGAGGATTTCGTGTCCTCGGCCAGCGTGGCTGTGCATTTTTCCCATATTCCCGGATGCATGGCATCCACTGGGCATTCGGTCGCCCCAAGCTCAAGCAGCCTCGCTATAGCAAGATAAAAGTCCTTGAGCTTAAATTCGATACTCCACTGCTTATAACTCACACTTACGACCCTGGCGATGCTGTCCATGATGCTCGCGGGTCCTGGGACGTCTCCCTGCGCCTAGATACAGTCTGACTGCTCCGGCCGCTGCTCCTGTCCAGGTGTACCCCGTTACCCAAGCGAATCTTCCCGGTTTTCGGCACCAGATATGTTGCCTTTGTAAAAGACAACGGCGACGCGGTTCCAAGGAGCAGCACGGCGGCCCGGCCTGTCCGGACCACTCGGGCTAACGACAAAACACGCTGGCACCAATTTGGTGGATGGTCGAAAGCCTTTATTATCTTATCTCATGGGTTTAAATAGTCTTGGGGGTCTTTGCTACGTCAGAGGGGGGTTGTGGGGTCTCTAGGGTTAGTCGGGAGTGGAAAACTGCTGGGTTAGGTGTGGTCACATGCTTTGGGTTTAATAGATAACGTGAAGCAGGGAGAAGGGGGAAGGGTCTCTCTTTCCGTCACATCCCGTGATCTTCCCTTCGCCTGTCCCTACTACTACCAAGAGAGACTATAGCTCTGCACAGACATGTGCAGGCATGCCTAGGAATTTGGCTTGCCTGCAGTTTATCTGTCCCAGTTAAAGGCAGATGCAGCCTTTTGCTTCCATGGACATTGATGAGCTGGTAGATGTGCTAACAGGGAGAGAGCTCACACACAGCAACTGGTCCTGATCTAATCACACACATTCTTACAGTGCTGTTTGGCTCCAACTTGCCCAACTGCAGGAATATTTTCAGTTTTCCTTCCTACCTCCTTGGACAGGGATCACCCAAGTTTGGGTAATCAAGCCGTTTGCAGTTTGCGACTTCTCCCCAGTCTGTGGCTAAAGAGGGGAATTACAGGATGGGAAAAGTGGCTTAGGCTGCAATTCTGCTTTGCAGATGAGAAGGAGCTTCCCTGGAGTACCTGCAAACATACTGGGAATGCTGGTGAGTGGCTCAGAAAGCCCAGCAGGTACTGAAGCCTCCCTCCCTCCCTCCCTCCCTCCCTCCCTCCCTCCCTCCCTCCCTCCCTCCCTCCCTCCCTTCCTCCCTCCCTCCCTCCCTCCCTCCCTCCCTCCCTCCCTCCCTCCCTCCCTCCCTCCCTCCCTCCCTTCCTTCCTTCCTTCCTCCCTTCCTCCCTTCCTCCCTTCCTTCCTTCCTCCCTCCCTTCCTCCCTCCCTCCCTTCCTCCCTTCCTTCCTTCCTTCCTTCCTTCCTTCCTTCCTTCCTTCCTTCCTTCCTTCCTTCCTTCCTTCCTTCCTTCCTTCCTTCCTTCCTTCCTTCCTTCCTTCCTTCCTTCCTTCCTTCCTTCCTTCCTTCCTTCCTTCCTTCCTTCCTTCCTTCCTTCCTTCCTTCCTTCCTTCCTTCCTTCCTTCCTTCCTTCCTTCCTTCCTTCCTTCCTTCCTTCCTTCCTTCCTTCCTTCCTTCCTTCCTTCCTTCCTTCCTTCCTTCCTTCCTTCCTTCCTTCCTTCCTTCCTTCCTTCCTTCCTTCCTTCCTTCCTTCCTTCCTTCCTTCCTTCCTTCCTTCCTTCCTTCCTTCCTTCCTTCCTTCCTTCCTTCCCTTTCCCTTCCCTTTCCTCTTTCCCCTTCCCTTTCCCTTTCCCTTTCCCTTTCCCTTTCCCTTTCCCTTTCCCTTTCCCTTTCCCTTTCCCTTTCCCTTTCCCTTTCCCTTTCCCTTTCCCTTTCCCTTTCCCTTTCCCTTTCCCTCCCTTCCCTTTCTTTCCTTCTTTTCTTCCTTCTTTCCCCAGATAAAACTCACTTTTAGATCTGATCATCTTTTATTCCTTTCCTCCTTCTCCCTTCTAGACTCTTTACAGTTTGTCCCTAGACATCTTGTTGAAAAGCTTCAGAACAACAGGAGTGGTATCACAGGCAGAGGATGGGGATTAGCCTCTGAGTCTTGCCTACCCTCTTCTACCGCTTTTCTCCTTTCCTACAGCCCAAAGTGAGAATTCTAATTTTTGGCAACAGTATCTCGTTGATTTTTATAGTCTGACATTTTCCTTATCCCTTAATTCTTTGCCTGAGTTCTGCTGCTGCACCACACAAGCTCCCTTTATTGCTGAGCATTCTCCACTTGTCTCTATCAGATGTCAAGCTATTGATTCGGAGGTGATGTCAAGGTCATTTGGGATTCTGACACTTTCCTTGAGAGTTCTCCTTGGGAATGCTTGGAGATTTTGGTGACTTTTGGCCAGACACAAATGTCCTAGTTATGTTCTATTTCCTCTTGACAGCTGTACCAGGGAACAATGTTTTAATGGGAATAATTTAAATTTTTAAGATGTCGGTCCCTGAATAAAGAACGTTCAAGACTGAAGAAATTCTAAACACTATCATACTTAATGCAATCCTTATCCTACCCAAGGAGCTGGACAAGCACTCCAGCTCTGCCTCCCAGGGCTGACAATGTTTATTTTTAATTCTCAGTGAAGACAACAACCTAGATCCCAGCTGATCCCACCCACCCCACATGGAGCCACTCCTGCCCTCTCTCCTTCCTCAGAGGACAAAAACCCCAGAAATGCTCTTGGCTCCCTTCTCCCAGAGGCCCTGGGGTGGTCAATAGCAATAAAAAAATGCCTGCAGAGCTTTCACCCTCAAAGCTTGATTTTCCAGGCACTCTCCTGCAGTCCCTCTGTAATGGCATTTTTTAATGGCCTGGCCAAAGGAACCTAATCTTGCAATTACTCCATTTAAAGCCATGTAATGGGTGAGCAGCTTCCTGGGATATGGGAAAGGAGAAGTGTGGTACAATTGTATTAAGGAGGGAAAATGGAGTAACTACTCACACTAAAAAGGATGAGGAATGAAAAGCAGCATGGTGTGAATTATAGAGAAAGGAATGGGTTTATGACATGCAGCTGAAGGTCTGGCAGCTTTTGAGAGTCACCATTCCCCACCTGTCCCTTTCACTTGCCATCAGGACAAAAAAAGAGGAAAAGGAGGGAGTTGGGAGCATCAAATCTACAGGGCTTGCAAAGGGGATCAATTGGGTTTGAGGACGGAGTGAGCAGGGCAAGGGCAAGGCACCTCCAGGGAGATTCTCCTGCTGCATGGCAGCATTCCCAGGAGAAGCTGGCAGCACAAGGCCCTAAAGATGGGGAACAGCTGAGCAACCCCAATTCCCAGGACTGAGATCTCCCTGATCCCTGACTTCACAGCATGAAAAAGGAGACTGGGGATATTTAAAAAAAAATAAAAAATTAAGGATATTGCTTGAAAAACAACCAGGGTGATCCTCAGCAGTGCAGGAGGGATGGCAGGAGGGATGAATTCCTGAGGGGAAGGGCTCCTCACTCCAGCTTGCAAAAGCCAAAAGTCAAATCTCCCAGGCTCTGGAATTCAGGAACAATGGGGAAATGGGGATGCCTGGCCCGTCCTGCTCAGTTTGGGACCCTCGTGTCCCCATGGCCCAGTGCCGTCACCGCCACCCACCCCAACATTCCATCCAAGGGAGCTCTCCCACGTCAACCTGGGGGCCCAGCACCACGATGCTCTTCCATATCCCATCCAAAGGCCTCACTGCGCGCTCCGCAGGTCCATGAGGGCACGCTCCAGGCTCCAGGACAGGAGGGGGGAGCGCTTTGGGAAGAGCGTCCGCTTCAGGTCCTCCTGGCGCGTGCTTCTGCCCTTCTTCCTCTTCATGGGCGAGGCACCGCCGGCGGCTCCGGAGGGCTCACCCAGCCTTGCCATGGTGCACATGGCCCAGAGCGCCCCAGCTGCGCTCTCAGCACCAAGGTGAGTGCAGGGCTTCCCAGCGCCCAGCCCAAGTGGGTGGGGACCTTTAGGGTGGAAGGGCTGCAAAGGAGGGAGAGAGGTTTTCAGGGCAGTAGGGCGGGTCGGCAGCACCTCGGAGATCACTCTTCACTGTGCTGCTGGGTGGACTTGGCACTGAAGTAGCTGATGAGAGCCACGTTTTCCAGCCTGCCTGCAGCTCTGAGGGGCACAGAGGTGTAATGGCATCTCCCACCAATGCACTCCCCATCCTGATGTCCCCTGCCAGCCTGGTGGCACCTCCTGGATGCTCTGGGGACAGCTGCAGTGCCAGGATCCTGCAAGCATCAGCCCAGTACGCCCCCTCACCACCAGCCACCCCAGCACAAGGGTGAAATGCCAACACAGACATCCCCCCTAACAGATCCTGGGGAACAGTGTCTCATCAAGACTTGTCTTGGAAAGACACAGACTGAAAATCTCAACATCTCATCACAGGTGGGAGACAGCAGCTGCCATTTATCACTCTTGAGGAGTTGATTGGCATCCTCAGTCATAACTGAATTCTGTGAGTGCACAAGAGAAAAACACCTTCAATTCTTCCCTTCATGTCCCCAAAATGCATGCCCTAGGTTTTGAGGCCTGCTTACTCTGATCAAGCCCTTCTGGATCTCACCAACATGAAGGAACTCTCCTTATGCCTGTCCAGCTGTTCTGTGCAGTACTTCCTGGAGTGACTTCCCAGTGATGCTAACAGCTTTACCTGGCACCCCCAAGCAGTTAAGGTGGAAGACTGCAGCAGCAAGTTCCTTGCCTCCAACCAGCTACAATGGAATGGTTTTCCCATAGGAATTACCCTCAGAGGAATAACCCCAGTCCCTCCAGCCAAACTGCCTCCTTTCCAGGGAAGCCAGAGGCTTGCATGCCTTTAAAAAAAGGAAAAATATCCCCAAATCAAGATAGTATTTCAAGTGGGATTATTGCTCATTGGCCAAAGAGCTGGAAGTTTAGCTGGAACTTATTAGGCAAGCTTTGCAGAAAGGAGGCTGTAAAGAAGGAGGTGTTGTTGCCCTCGGTGCTGCATCCCACTGCCTGCATCAGCGGTGGCCAAGGGGCCGTGAAACTGGCAGGCAGAGGCAGGTGAAAGAAAAGGCAGCCAGGAAGCAGAGCCCTGACATGCAGGGTCTTCAGCCTCTTTCTTAGGTTTTCCCTGAGAACACCACCTGGGAGAGGCCAGCAGGAGAGGCTGGGAGCCAGCCCGTGCCCTTGCTGAGCAGATTAGCAGCACTGCTGATCATCCCTCCTTGCCACCCCCAGGAAAGAAGTGTGATCCCTGCCTGGCGCAGAAATGGATCCAGCGAGAGGCTCTGAGGCGAAACTCGCTCAAATATTGAACTAGAAAAATTTTGCTCGATCTGCCTCTCAGTAAACAGTGACTAATTGCTCTGGCTGGAGTTGCTGTACCTTCTAGATTGGAAGGTGCAGACGGAACAATGATAGTGAAGGCTCCTTACCTGACACTGGCTGTACATTAATCACGAATGTTTGCTACGCAAATCTTGTCATACAAAGCAATTATTGCTGTTCCCATACTGACCTCATGTTTATTTATTACATGAGCTCTTTATTTGAACCTTGTATGGTCTCTCTTCCCATATAAGCATATTAGTATGTGGCTTCCAAAGGCTCCCAGCTGAGAAATTGTAGAATTATTTGTGGCGTGGAGGGATGGCACACGACATAGGACTATGAGATGGAAAAGCCAGGGAATATCTTGTGGTATGAGGAAAAAATTGCTGTGCTTACTGCCTTATAAAATGTACTTGATAAATTTGAATAATCTGAATTTTTATTGCAACAGTTTTTAAAATAAAGAGGTACCATTTTCCCCTTTCTTTTTTTCTTTTTTTTTTTTTTTTTAATAATGCACCAAAATCTTAATAAACTATTTTGTCTGAACCACAGGGAGAAATGAAAGGCTTTTCTATGTAGTGACTCACTGGATTATTGAAAACAACTATGTGGCTGCAACTGTTTGCCTTCCTGATATATCTTTCTCCTCTGTTTTTAATAACGAGATCCCTGTAGAGCTTTGATGAAGAATGAAATTTCTTTCTTTTCCAGATTTGATTTTTTGACAGAAATATTTACGTGGGTTAGAGAAATGCATCTAAAATGACACAGCTCAAGTCTACCAGGATCAGATTTTTACATACACGAGTTGCAGAAATCTGCCTGCCCATCTTAATTCTCATAATTCATCCCCTTGTGTGTTTTTTCCTTCTGTGGATCAGACAATGAATTTTTCCTCCCTTTTTGTGAATAAGCCTCTCTCAGAAATGAGACACATGGCTTTAACTTCTGGGGGAAGTGTTGGCACCTCTGCCAAGGAAAGGGATGTGAATTGATGGGCTGCTCTGCTCTGGAACATTAAGCAGATCACACTCCCACTGCAAAGACTTGGCTGTCTCTGTTGATTGAGAGATGTCTTATGGAAAGGTACTAGTCAGTGTAAACCCCAGGATACCCAACAAAGAGAGATTTCAATAAAAATAGAGAGCCATTAAAGTAGCTCACCCTCTCTTCACAGGCTAAACAAAGCCACAAGCACATGGAGCAAGTAGCATTTCAGATATCACCATGTTCCTTTCAATTAGCCTGGAAAACCTGTCCAGGGCTGAGCCCTCTCCCACTGAAACTCCAGTTTAGCATCACTGACACAGAGAGACAGATATTCCCTCCATTGTGCATTTGGGGTGGATTTTTTTCCCCCACTATGCAGAACAGGTGAACAACTTTCTTCTTCTTAGGCATTTACAAGACTTTTTAAAGACCAAAGCAACCAAGCAACCAGGTAAAACAAACGGCACCTGCCAGCCCGTTGGACCACTGTAAAATTCAGTGCTGGAAGGGACTTTCTTCAGAACAGTCTCCTGGCCTTCACAAGGCATTCACCTTAGTCTTCCTAATGACCTCTCTGCATTGAGCTCTATTGGCAGAGCAAGGCTTGGGGAGCCATCAAGAGAAGGTGATGGTACAAATGTCCCCACCTTTGTAAATAAAATATCTCACACAATACAGGGCTGCCAATGGTTGGTTTTCTGGCTCTCACACATCTACTCCTCTTTTGGAGGAAGCTGAGAGTGCAAAGGGAGCAGAGCCTGCAATGAATCCATCAGCTCAAAAGCAGGATTCTAAACTGGAGATAATCCTTGTCTTCTCAAAACTTTAACCTAAGGGAGCACAAAAGGAAAAGTAATCATCTCTTGTTGGTCAATCCCTTTGCTCAGTGTCACAAATATCACAGAAAGAGAGGCCATTAGCACGGTTTGCTTTAGATCAGGAATAACTCCTGTTCCAGCCATTGCTGGGGGCTGTTAAGGCCTTCAGGTTTTTGATGGATTGAGGAAAGCCTTGACAATGCAGACAACTGCAGTGAAATAAGAGGCTGGCTCAAACATTAATGACCCACTGATTCTATGTGAGACAAAGAGATGATTGCACTGTCTGCCTTGGCAAGACCTCTCCCTTCACCGCCCTTGGTAGGCATCCCTTCAGTGACTGCAAGGGGCAGAGCTGGTCCCTCAAAGTTTTCTTCCTTCCCCCCTACTCCCAACTCCCGTCCTTGTCATAAAGAGTAGGAATCAAAAACAAGCCTGTGGCTTTGCTAGCATAGCAGAAGAAAAATCAATCTCCTTGTTGACCTGGTGAAAGAAAGGTGGAGTACCTGAAGTTCAGTTTTCCCATCTCCAGATGCCGCTTACACTGATAGGCAAACTTTCACAGAAGAAGGAGAGTAATCTGCAAGTGCTCTGCTGTAGTGTGGATTCATCTGTCCAAAAGCAGCAGATAAAGGTGAAGGCAGCTCACTTCCACACTCACTCCCTAGTTTGCATCTAGAGAAAGTTTTGAAATTTGGGAAAGAAAAGAAGATAATTTGCAACCATGAAAAATGAGATAAAACAAAGCAGTGTAGGGAAAGGGAAACTGAGCAAAGCAAAAAAAAACTGGCACATTTTTACCTGTTGATGTTGCTGTCACCAATGGGGCTTTTTATTCTCTTCAAGCCAGGCAAAACCTGAGGTGTAACCTCTCCTCCAGGGCTGGATATCCAGAGGAGTCACCTCAGGGAGCACGTGGCAGAGGTGGCCGTGATGCTGAGCTTTGGCTGGGAGTCCTCTCAGGAACACGACGGGTGTGGTGAGGCATCACGGAGCTCTTGGCTGCGTCAGCTGCCCACCTGTGATTGCAGGGATGCTCAATTGGCAAAGAGTCACCCTTCCAGCGGTGGGATGCTTCATAAACTGCTGGAAAGTCTGGGAAAGAGGTCACAAACACTGCTGGGAAGGTCTGGGAAACACCTCAAAAGAAAAGGAGAAATGGGAAAGAAGAATAGAAAAGAAAATAAAAAAAAGGCAGAAAATTAAAAAGAAAGAGAAAAAAGGAGAAAGGGGGAAAGGAGATTTTGTTGCAACGAATGCCTGCTGCGAAATAGCAAGGCTGGAACTGCCCAGAATGCAGCGGAGACGCTCCGGAGCCCGCCGGGCCCGGCGCTGCCCGTGCGGCCGCCGCAGCGCGGTCCAACACCGCCTCTCACGGCTCCGCTGCTGCCAGAACCCGCTTTTGGGGGCCGCGCAGGCAGCTCCTGCCGCAGCCCACGGCACCGATTCCACCCTGCCACAGCTCCGACATCGCCGGGGCGCGCCCCGTGTCCCACGGCGGCAGAGCGCAGCGGGGACCCGGCCAGCCGCACCCCGCAGTCACTCCCCGGCTGGAATTGGGGTAGGCGGGGTGGGCTCCTGCCCTGGGCCACTCATCACGGACACGGGGGGACTTGGAATCAGAGGGGGAGCCGATTACCCAGCCCTGGCTGCACCCTGCGTCCACACTGAGCCACCTTCACACCAGGTTTACACCCACATGAAAATCCCAGAAGAGCACCTCAGCACATCGACTGCTGCGGACGCCTTGCGTTCTCCTTGTTTTGACTTTGGCACAGACACTGGAAAGAGATGGTTTTACTTCTCAACATGGAAGAATTTCCATCGAGATGGAAAAAAAACCATCGAGATGGCTTTAAGCCCAGGTAAAGCAGATAGCTGCCCAGAGCAGGTACCCTTGATAGATGACAAGGCAGCAGGTTTGCTGCCGCAGAAACTGTGAAAAGCTGAGCTGGATGGTGCCCCAAGACCCTTGAAGATGGCTCAGGGTGTGTAGGCAGCAGACACAGTTGGGATGGAAGGAAATAAAGAAGGATGGTCTCCCTGTCCCTTCAGTCTGGCACTAAGGAGGGATGAGAGGTCCCCAGGGCATTTCTCATTCCTCTTCCCCAGAAGCTGATACGCCCTCTGGCCCAGGCATATCAACTGTGCCTGTACCAAACTAGGCATTTTCAGTTCAATGTAAGCAGCTTCTGAATTCACACACCCTGGGCTCCTCAAGCATTTTTATCTGCCCTCCTTACCCCACCCCCCAACAAAAAAATGCAAGATCCTACTAAATATGGACAATGCATCCACTTTCTGTTGCAGAGCTCATGCACCTGAGCTGCAAATACAACTGGCTGGTACAAACATGAGCTACATTTACATTCTGACAGCCTAACAGCAACCCAGAAAGTTTCAGTCTATCCACTCCAGTTCTCTCTGGATCTGCATCTCACTGAACAATTTTGGCCCTCAACATTCACCTTTCTGTCGCAGACTTGTGGCCTCCAGCCCTGTTCCTTTCTACCTCAGCTGCCATCACTGTCCTGCTCCTCAGTGGTCCTGACTGGATGGTGCTTAAACCATGTCTTAACTGAGCATCACCAGTGAGCTGAGGACCAAGGCCTGGCAAAGCAGGAAAAATTACCAGCATGGGTTTGCTGAGAGACCAAGGTCTGCAGGACTTATCCCTGGTAAGAAAAATAAATGGTATGTGAAGAAATCAAAAGGTGATACTGCATTGCTCAGGGTTTTGTTCAATATTAGCTGCAATGCTACTGTGCGATGTGCTGGCAGTGGTAAGTAAATAGATTATGCACTAAGCTTTGTACACTAAATAGTCCATTACTGAATATATATTTCTCAAATTAATCACTGACAGAAGCTAATGACATAGTCTCAAGCCAAGAGGCTTGAAATGGCTTTGCAGAGGCAACCAGTCTTGATCTCTACTGGCTGCAGAGTCCTCCTGCTCTTGTTTCTCCCAATAAAACGTATTCTGCAGGTGCAATTATTCAGTGGCTGGGGTTAACTCAATGCTCTAAAGGATGAAGGTAAGGTAATCGACTATATTCATCTTGGTATTTCTTTTGCATGCTCTAGGATCATAATTACAAGACAAAATATTATCGCAGGAGGCTGAATTTAACAAGGTATCAGCCAAGGGGACAGGACTTTAGGTGCATGGGGATACTATGCTGAGTGGGACTGTTGGGGAGCCCCAGAAAAGATGCTAGGTTTATATTAGCTGATTTCAAAATCTCTGCCAAAATGTGCCATATCCCTGGCTGTCAATGTCATTCCTAACAACACAGGCTTTTCCCCTCTTCCACAGGCTGGAAAGAAACTGGCCCTTATCTTCTTCCTAACTCTACCCTCCCCACCAGGGTCTGATCCAGAGCCCGCAGGTCCTGCTAATGAGAGCACTCATGGTGGGAATATGGACACTTACCTGCTCCAAGGCCTTCCCCAGCAGCAAGCTCAGGCTGCCAGGCCTATGGATCCTGGATCATCCTTCCCACTGAGACTTCCATTGCACGGCTCTTCCATTGGCACATCTGTGCTCAGCTGGGACTACTCTGCTCACCCAGGGCTGCTGGTAAAGGATGGAGAGCAGCCTGGCCAGGTCTTTCTCCAGCTCCTTCTGTGCTCTTGGGGAAGGTAGAACCTTCCACAGGAAAGCAACTGGTGCCACAAGGAGTGGGTGGCATCAGGCAGCTCTGGGGAAGCCCCTCAGGAATGCTGTATCCTGAGGGAACACTGTTGGCCTTGACCTGTGGGCACCAGCAGAAGCTTCAAATCAGCTGCCTCAGCTTCCAGGGCCTCTCTTGGCCAGCATCCTGACGTGGATGCAGGACGGCTGCCAGGCGCTGCTGGGACCCAGCGGGACAGGAGCGGCTGTCTCATGTCCACGCAGCACCCGTGACACAGCCAGGGCCATCCCGAGAGCAGACAGACGCTCACGGGCCAGCAGAGAGGAGCAAGGAGCCCTGGGCTCCTCTCAGGGTATCTCAGCTGGGCTCGCTCCACAACACGCCCCCATTTGAAGGCCTGCTGATGCCCAGCTGCCAGAAATGCCTCCCTTGTGCTCTCCAAGATGCACAGGGAGAGCCAAGGAGCAGGACACCTTGGCATGCAAACCTTCCAAGCCTTTTCTGAGGCCAGGCACACACCAAGATCAGCCAAGACTCTCTACCACACTGCCTGGCCCACCCAGCCCAGCTCTGTGCTGGCCCTGGGCCACAGCAGCTCCCAGCAAGCAGGAGGCAAATGCATATTGCCAAGAGATGCAACACAGCAGACAGGGAAGATGTGAAAAGTGAGTGTGTAAAGGCCTTTTAATTCACAGCTCCCACAGAGAGCTCTGGGGCTCACAGATGGACAGAGATGGTTCTGCTCACCCCTCTGTCCAAAGGGGGGGTAACACACGCTGCTGCAGGTGCTTGGGTTGGTCCCTGCAGGTCCAGGTGGATGCCAAACCTGCTCTTCACAGCCTTCTCCCTTCCCCTGCCCCTCTGCCAAGTGCAGTGGGCCTCAAGGACTGAAAGGAGCACAGAGAGCCAAAGGGGGACACTTGCACCTGCCTCACTGGGAGCTCCCTGGGAAGCACTTTCCTTGAGAAGCAAGCCCCTGTCCTCCAAATGCATTACCCCAAATGTGCAGCTTTTCTGCTCAACACCAACACACCCTTAAGAAACGCTGGCAAGGCTGAAGGACTTCATGTCCTTTCAGGACAGGCACTCCAGCTCCAGCTGCTATTCCCCCAAGTGCCTTTCCAGGTGGAGGCTCAGACGTGCAGCCCCAGGCCCTCTACAAACACAAGCTGCTCACTGCCTCTTCACCTGCCTCAACTCCTGCCTGCGCTCACGGCACCAAGACCAGGCTGTTCCCAGCCAGAGCCCAGAGCCCTGCTCCCGCAGGATGCTCTTGCCAGCACCTTCCAGGCCTCTCTGCTGTGCACACAGCGCTTTTCATGCCCACTCCCAACAGGCTCTGGAAGGCAGAGCACAACCTGGCTGCCTCTGCCACCAGCACAGCCCAAACACAGGCGGAGGAAGAAGCAGCAGGGGCTGTTTTGTGGCCATGCCCAAGAGAGACTGGAAGGGTGCCCTCCCTCTGCTCTCACTTGCTTGGCTTTCTGACTGGCTCTGAGCCTGGGGCTGCCATTCCTCACTTGTGGGGACCAGAACCACAGCCGGGATCCCGGCACTGCCTGAGAGTGCTCTGGGCACTGGCAGGGTTGTGCGTCCCAGTCTTGGGCACCATGCTGCTACTTCCTTTGCCCTCAGGCACACCCAAAGCTCCCTGCTAAGCCCGGATGGTCGCTGGTTCTGCCCTCTCCCTGATCCTGTGCAGGGATGGAGCACGGCTGAGCCTTCAGGAAGCTATTCCTGAAAACTTCCAGCATTCCAAGATCCTTTGCCCTCCGTGGAAGCTTGCCATGGAATCCCTCACAGCTGCCTTCAGAGCATACTCAACTTGGCTCTTCCAAATTCTAGGGGCTCCAGGCTGCACAGCAAGATCTGCAACTCCACAGGGTTGTGGAACTGCACCTTCAGCACAGGCACCTCTCCAGCCTGATCTGCCCTCGTTCTGTGTGTGTGTGCACAGAACACAGCGTGGTAAAGAACAGCAGCAGGGGCCTTTGTGTCCCAGGGCCCGGGATTTGTGCCGCTTCAGCTCCACAGAGATGCAGGTAAGGGGGAGAAACCAAACTCTTTATTAATGGAAGGGAAGGGGAAGGGATGAGATGGGGGGAAAAAAAGGGGATGGGCAGGGTCTGAGGGCTGGAGGGACGGAGCTGTCAACAGGGAGGGGGAAGGCAGCAGCTATGGGAGCTTGCAGCAGGCACAGCTGTGGCCAGCATCAGGTGTGCCTGGGGCTCCAGTGACGTTGAGTCCTGCTGCTCTCTTCACAGTCTCCTGGTACTCTGCTGTCGTGGTTTGACACGGAAAATGAATTTTCTCAAAAGAAAGAGGTCAATTTGTCTATTGACCAATTGAAGGTGAACATGCCTCTGAGAACACAGAGGGGTTAAAAGCAGAATTCCCAGGAGAACTCGCTCTCTTTGGTTCCGGTCAGCGTGCAGTGCAGGACTCTCCCCTGCCCATCCGTGGCTGGGCGGGGGAGGGGAAGGCCCGTGGCCTGACTGAGGTAGGCCAAAGGGTGGAGGGGCCTGGGAACCCCCTGCAGATGGTAGGGTGGAGAAAATCTGTGATGTCTCCGTTTCCCCCCCGAGTCTCTCTTTCTTGAGAGAGAAAAAGACAGCAGTAGTTTTGCCAGCAGTTCACCGCGGGGAAGGAGAAGAGCGGGGGGGCCGCAAGGTGCCCAGCTGCCTGTGGGAGCGGGAGCCTGGGCAGCAAGCCATCTCTGGGAGTCGGGACTTTTAACCCTTCCTTGAGAAATGAAAGCTTTGTGAAATTTTTCTCCTCCTCGGTTTGAAAGAGAGGAAGAGAGACAGCTTGGACTCTGGGATGTTAGAAGGAGAAATTTTAGGTGGGAGGAGATGATGGAGTGGCTTTTGGCTGGACTTTTTCTTGGTAGCCACAGACTGAACTGATCTTCTTCTCCAAGAGAGACTGTATTTTAGGAGGATGCCGGTGAGCCAAAGAGACCATGCTTCAGCTGGGAAAAGACAGAAATTGAGCGAACAAAGAAAAGTTAGGGAGGTTTGTGGTGGTGTCCCCTGTCTTCAGAGAAGAAGAGAAGATCTCTGTTCTTGGACCCTCAGCCCCAGGGGGAAATGGGGGGAACTGTGGTCCCAAAAATAAAAAACTGAACTGTTGTTTTTTCCCCTCTTGGCAGGGCATCCTTGAAAGGAAAAATCCTAAAAGCAGTCTGTCCATCCATGCATTGGTGGTGAGAGCACTGTGCATGGAAAGGAGAGGGCCACCATGGCAAACTTTTTCTCTGGGTGGTGCTATGTGTGACATTGAAGCACAGGATGTGGCAGCTGTGTTTCCTGGGGGGGTCTGTGGCACAGGAGGGGCTCCTCTCTTCCTTGATGGACTGAGTATCGATTGTCTGGAGGGTGGACACCTGATTGGAGTCCAGGTTGTGTCTCACTGTGGTTTGTTGGGGTTGGGTGGTGAGAGGAGGAATACTTTGGAAGGTTTTCATTTTGAATTTTGTGTGGTCTTTTTATCTTTTTTTTCTTTTAGAGTAGTATAGTAGTAGTAGCTTAATAAAGTTTTTTTCCTTGTTATTAAGCTTGGGCCTGCTTTGCTCTGTTCTCGATTGCATTTCGCAGCATTCAATTGAGAGATTGCATTTTCATGGGGGCACTGGCATTGTGTGCCAGTGTCAAACCATGACAGCCATACTCCTTGATTTCCTTCTCAGGCTTTTCCAGTCCAGGTGTCTCCAACTATGCCAGGGGGCAGTGTCTGGGGTTGACGTTCCTTGACATTTGCGGATGATGATCGTAGATTTTTCTCGATGGTCATTATGGTTTTTGGTACCTTTTGTGTTATTCCCAGTTTATTGAGATGTTAAGCTCATTTCTCCTGAGTGGTGCTACATCCCTTAAAAAACCCATTAGAATTCCTTTCCCCAAGGCAAAGGCAAACCAAGCCTGACTAGAGAAATGAAAAAAAATTAAACTTGGTATATTATCCAACACACATGTGCAGTGCAAGCCCCCGGCTGCTGGTCTCAGGAGAAGGCTGAGGGAAATGCACCCACTACGCCCCCTCTGCGACTCACTCGGCATCTGGTGCAGAAGTTTGGATGCCTGCAGGGGTTGCTTGTCTCCTCTGGGTCTGTTCTTCCTTCCCTCTGGGAGGGCCTTAATGGAAATCAGCTCCATTTCTCCTGCAGACCAGAGTGGCAGGGAGTCACTGCAGGCTGGTGATATTCTGATACAAGGAAACAGGTGTGCATACAAACCAGGCTGTGAAAAGCCAGTGTCCATAAAGGAGCCAGAGGAGCCCTGCAGCTTTGTTTGAATAAAGGGAGAGAGTCCATGGGGACATCTGCTGCTGGGGTTTTCTCTCTCAAAGTTTTGGAGGACACAGCCTCTATTTAAACTCCTGGCCACATGCTGCCCTCTTCCTTTCCCCACTGGCTGAGGTACCAGGCCAGGGGACTGCAGGGACCTTTGTACCCTCTTTTCCTTTTGCAAGGTATTACTTCTGGTCTCCATCCAAACTGTAATAGATAGAATATGAGATGATTGGCTCTTGCAATTAAGGGATGAATATTGTGTGTATCTTAAGAGAAGCTTTATTGATGTAGAGTTATGTTATTGTGATTTGTTGTTTAGATGTTCTCCGTTCTCCCCACAGTCCCCTTCCCCCTTTTATAAATGAAAATTAGTCCAGCCAAATTAAAAATGAAACAATAAAAAGTTATTCAGGATTGAATTCTCTCTGAGCAGGCCAAAAGGAAAAGGACAGCGCTGAGCCCAGGTTCGGCACTGGGTGCGTGACAGGAAGGAGCCTCTCGGCAGAGGTTCCCCTGGACACACACACCACCCTCCCGGACCCTGCAGTTCTTATAGGAAATTTTCTGCCCGAGGCCAGGATTTCAGTCACCTGCCTTTTCTCTCTATTCAGAGTCCCACATATTCATAAAGTTCTTTTCTTTCAGCCGGGGTTGAACAATCCAGGTCCAGCTGTGGACAATTTTTCCTGATGAGGTTATGGGAACCGTGGCATTCAGATGCATCAGCCCGGAGGACTCCAGCGATCCCAATCTTGAGTCGCTACCAGGATGATCAGCTCCCAGGTGTTCCAGTATCTCCTTTTGGGACAGCCCATCTCCAGGATAGCCACATGTATTAAATTGTAAATGAGGCATTGTCCAAAAAAAACCTGGCTCTGGTGTAAACAAATACGTGTGTGTGTGTGGGGGGGGGGGGGCAGCTTACAGTGCTGGTATGTGTATTGTGTAATAACTAAATATTATACATGCCAAATCATATTTGCCTTGATTCAATACAACAATATTTAATTGGAGTAAATTATAATCATACATCTCACCCCCCACTCCCAATTGTTCCCACCAGACAGCCTGGGCTGTCTAGACAGGTAGAAAGAAGGCGTGTGTGGTATTCACATACCCTTTGAACAGTGAGAGACACAGGCTTTCCCAGGAACATCCTGGGGAAGGCTGTGAGAAAGCTCAGAGAAAGAAGAAAAACAATTATCTCCATTTGCTGCATCTGTTGTTTGGCACATGTGGAATGTGTTATGGAGATTGTTTACCAAAGAGGGATTTCTTCACTGGACTCTGGTGATGGTGTTTTGATTTCATTTGACCAACTGGAGCCACTCTGTGTTGGACTGTCTCTAAGGGTCACGGGTTTTTCTTCAGCATAGCAGTAGTATAGTTTTTAGTATAGTATAATATAGGACAGCTTAATAAAGCTTTTCTTCATCCTTCTGCAAACATGGAGTCAATGCACGTCATTCCCTGCAGTGGGGGTCCACCACAATAGGTATCGACATATACCCCTTGCATGGGAGAGTTAGGAATGGAAAAGCTTGTTGCTGGGGGGACACGGCATGACAACACCTGACCTTCAAACGCAGCTACAAGAAATAAATTCCACCGATAAACGGCAAAGAAGGGTTGACTGACAGACTTTGGGAGGGCCCAGGGGTGGCTGATGCACCCTCCAGGAATGTAAAAGGTGAAGCATCAATCTTGAAGATGAGGCAGCCACCTGGCAGGTAGCAGCCATGGGGCAGGGGGCCTTCCCAGGCCTGTTCTTCCTTATTAGTCCTTCTCTTATGTTTTTGTAAATGTTTAATAAACATTTTAAAACTTTTAAAGTGTGCAGTGGTTTCTCACAAAACCCAGTCCTAAGGTGGGATGGTCGTGTTACTACTGACAGGAATGGGCTCCCCTTTGGGGACAGAGGGTTCTGTTATGGGTGGTGGCAGCATGTCCCCAGAAGTAAGTGGGTAATGCAGCTGTGGAAGGCATGTTGGAAACTGGCTTGGGAAAGGCTGATGATAGGCACAGATCTGCATGGCTGAAGTCATCTGGTCTTGTGAAGCTGCAGAGGCGCTGCTGTGGAGAGAGGAGTGGCTGAAGCCCCAGCTGCCAGTGGCACACAGGGAGCCTCCTGCACAGCAGGGCCCAGAGCTGGCAGGGCTCCCCAGCACGGCTGGAGCGGCTGGCACACCTTGGCCCAGCTGGACAGCTGCCTCTCAAGGCCCCAGCGAGCAGGGGACGGCTCTGGGCAGGCTCCCTGGCCAGGAGCGGGCCCCAGAGCGCCTCTGCCTTTCAGGGGCAATCTCGTCCTCGCTCTTTCTCCTCCCCACCTTGCTGTGCCTCTGCCTTGTGCCCCTGGGGCTGCTCTTGGCCAGGCAGCCTCAGTGGGAGCCAGCACTGGCTGCAGCCCCAGCGGGCCCCCAGGACAAGGCCCAGCAATGAAGGTGCCAAGGAAAGCACTGGGCAGCAGCAGAACCTTCAGCAGAGTTCTTTGGAAAGCCATGGACTGGCCACATCTCACTGGGAATCTTCCCTGACTACCAGCAGCCTTTAAAGGAAGCTGTTTGAGGTTGAGATCAGCAAAACACTCACCTTTTTGTCTTCCAGCAATACCAGATTCCCGCAGAGCACATCATCAGGCCAAATGCTGCACCAGCCACAATGGCCATCATCTTCATCAAACAAGATGTTCCCCAGCAGAAATCTCTTCTCATGCTTTTCCAGATTTTGTCACCACGTGCTGAGGTTCCAGCTGCATCTGTGGGATCATTTGGGAGTGTGAGCCATTGCCATGCTGCACTGCTGAGCTGGCAGCACGGTGGATACGGCCAGGCCTGCAGGCACCTTGCCGCCCCTTGGCACAGGACTGCCCAGTACCCAAAGCCCTGAGCCTGCATGCCGTAATTGCCTCTGTGCTGTGCTGTTCTGCTCCCAGCAGTACGTGTCAAAGAGGTGGATAAAGACATGGAAAATGCCCAGAGTTTTGAAGCTGCCCTAGGGCCCTCCCTCCAGCAAACAGCTGCCTCTCTGCATCTCTCCAGAAAGCAGGAAATTGCAGGCATCTCAGGCCCATGGTCCAGTTTGGGCTCCCTGTCAGCTGGTGCCAAATGCCTTCCTGCAGATGCTGGGGAGAAACTGCAGCCAGCCCAGGCTGGGAAACAGCCCTGCAGGCCAGGAGAGCAGCAGCGGGGCAGCGAGGCTGCCATGGATCCCTTCCCGCTGTGCCGGGCAGGGCCTGTCCAGATGTGCAGGGCAAGGCCCCGTCTGCTGAGTCCCAGGGGAAGGCTAAGGGAAATGCACCCACCCCTGTGTCTCTCCAGATCACTCAGCGTCTTGTCCATGTGTTTGGATGCCTCCAGGGACATGTCTCCTCTAAGTTTGCTCTTCCTTCTCAGGGGACCTTAAGGGAAATATTTCCATTTCTGAGGAATGGATCCCACAAAACCAGTACTCAGCCTGTGGGATCAGGAGGGACACGCTACTCACCCCTGCGATGGGAGCTGGGCTTTTGAGCAGCATCTACCAAAGAACCAGGGAAAGACCTCTCTGCAGCCACACCTGAAACTCAACAGCCGCAGAAGCTTCTGTCATCTCTGCAGATCTGCACGGGCAGCACTGAGCCGCAGGAGCGGTGAGGGGATGGCCCAGGGCGAGGGCACACCCGTGCATGGTTCTGTCCTGGCACCTGCAGCGATGCCCCCCTGGCCGAGCTTTGGGCTCTGAGCTGGCAGCTCTCGCAGGGGGAACGCCTTGACCTACCCTCAGCATATCCCAGAGGCTCAGTGATGGGGATGGGTTGGGAATCCAGATCCTCTTCATCCTCACGTTTAGCTGCAAAGAAAGGCAGGACAGAACAGCTCCTGTGACACTGCTGAAGATTCTCCTTCAAGCTGCAGTGGCAGTGAGTGCCCCTGGGTGATTGGTGCCCTCCAAGGCACTCCCTTAGCTCGGCCTTCCACTCAGGAGCAGGGGCAGGGAGACCACGAGCCTGCAGTGGCCCCACACCGGGATGGAAGGAGCCCCTTGCGGGGCAGTCGGGGCAGAAAGGACTCCCTGAAGCTGCCAGCAGCTCTAAACCCAGCCCCAGACAGGGCCAGGGCTTGGCAGCGGCAGCAGGAACAGCTCAGGCTCCCTGGGGCAGGCAAAGGAGCTGTGAAAGGCTCAGCCCCGGGGCACAGCCCTGGGCCCAGACCCTTCCCTCTCTGCTCTTCTCTGGGGTTGCACAGAGCACACAGGACACTCTGGCATTGCACATGGGTGGAAGATGGACAGCTAAATGCTCCTTCCTCCCACTGACAGCGATCATATGGGATCTCTGTTGGGCACTGGAGCAGATATTTGGAGGCCAAGATTTCCAGAATGCATCGAATTTCATTGGATCTTAAGGTAAATGATACATGAATAATAGTGTTGACCATGATTACTCATGGACAATGATTTCTCTGTCAGGAAAGGGTTTCTGATAACCTACCTTCACCAGACTCCAAGATCCTTAAACCATGGTTTAGCAGCATTTCCAAATGCTGCAAGTCACAGTCCGAATCTAGAAAGGAGCACAGATGGGAAATGTTCCATGGTGTGCTGGGATCCCCCTTCTATGGGGAAGTGAGCACTGCAAGGGGCTCAGGTAATGCTGTGAGCCCGCACTGCCAAGCAGCAGAGAGGGCAGCTCAAGGCTCTGCAGGGCTCAGGCCGACAGGCACAGCAATTACCTCCTGTGCCTGGCAGCGCCTCCCTTCCTGCAGCAGAGGCTGCCAGTGAGCCACTGCTTCCTCTGAGAAACTCAGCCTTCAGCACAGCCTCTCCATCCATCTCTGGAGAAAGGAAAAGGGGCAGCTGGATCAGGTGGGGCTGTTCCCCAGCGGGAAAGTGGCATCTTCAGTAGGCAAGGCTTGTCAAAGTCATGGATAGGCTTCAGGAAATCAGATGGGATTTGAGGTGTCTCTCTAGGGCCTTCCCTCTTCTAAACAGCTGCCCCTCCAGATGTGCTCAGTGACTGGGAAATTGCAGGGGACATCAGGGTGTGCATGGCCCCTGGTGCAGTTTGGGCTCCCTGTCAGCTGGTGCCAAATGCCTTCCTGCAGAGGCTGGGGAGAAGCTGCAGCCAGCCCAGGCTGGGAAACAGCCCTGCAGGCCAGGAGAACAGCAGCAGGGCAGCGAGGCTGCCATGGATCCCTTCCCGCTGTGCCGGGCAGGGCCTGTCCATATGTGCAGGGAAAGCCCCCGTCTGCTGAGTCCCAGGGGAAGGCTGAGGAAATGCACCCACCTTGTCCTGCCTCTTTGATTTCCTTCAGCATTTGCCACATGTGTTTGGATGGCTCATGGGGTTTCTTGTGTTCTGTAGCTTTGCTCTTTCTAATTGGGGGCCCTTAGAGCAACATAGTTCCATTTCTCAGAAATGAGTCCACAAAACCAGTGCTCAGCCTGTGGGGTCAGCAGGAACACACGACTCACCCCTGCGATGGGAGCTGGGCTTGTGTGCAGTTGCCAGCAAAGGAGCCTGAAAAGTCCTCCCTGCAGCCACACCTGTAACTCAAGAGCCACAGAAGCATCTGTCATCTCTGTCCCCCCCTGGCCGAGCTTTGGGCTCTGAGCTGGCAGTTCTCCCAGGGGGAAAGGCCTTGACCTACTCTCAGCATCTCTCAGAGGCTCATTCATGGACATGGTTTTAGAAACTGGATCGCTGTCATCAACAAGTTGAGCTGCAAAGAAAGGCAGGACAGAACAGCTCCTGTGACACTGTAGATCCTCAGGCTGCACCCAAGGCTCAGCCCCGGGGCACAGCCCTGGGCCCGGCCCCTTCCCTCTCTGCTCTTCTCCGGGGCTGCACAGAGCACAGGGAAGGACACGCTGGCATTCCACAGTGGAGGAAGATGGACAGCTAAACGCCTCTTCCTCTCACTGACAGTGATCCTGTGGGATCACTCATGGCTCTAGAAGGGAGCCAGACATTGTTTCCAGATTCCTTCTACCATGAGATTATGTTAAAGGAAATGGCTCCTGAGTGAGCTCTTGCCACACTGACACTGATTATTCTCTCAGGAAAGGCACAGGGAGAACTTGCCTCTAGCATTCTCCAACATTTTCCAGCCATCATCCAGCAGGGCATCCAGATAACGCAATTTATGATCCCAGTCTGGAAGGGAGCACAGATTGGAACCATTTCCATGGTGTGCTGGGATCCCCTTCTGCCTCAGGGAACTGGGCACTGCAAGGGGATCAGTAAGGCTGTGGCAGCCTGGTGGCAATGGACAAGGCCAAAGCTATCACAGAGGCCTGAGGAGCTCAGAGCTGGCTCCTGGTCACTCTCCACCCTCTTTAAGGTCCTGTGCAACATCTCTGGAGAGAGAAAACAGGGACAGCCCCAGGGCCCACAGGGGTTCTCTCCCTCCCACAGAGGAAACCCTCCCTAAAACCCACGGGAAAACCATCCCCAGCGCTTCCCGGGGAGCAGGGAGCACTGTCCCGGGAAAGGGCAGCCAGGCTGCCGGCTCACCTGCTCCCTGCGCTTTCATCGGAGCAGCCTGGGCAGCCCTGGCAGGCAGGGCCACGGCCAGGAGGAGCAGGAGGAGGCAAAGAGCAAGGGCCATGGTGCCCAGCCCTCTGCCAGTCCCACCACTCTTGCTGCCACCACTGTCCTGACACCGCTGTCCCAATGTCAGCACCACTGCTGCCACCGCTGCTGCCGCCGCAACAGTTGTGCTCAAGGACTGCCTGCTTGGGCGTTGTGGTGCTCTGGAACCATGGGGCTCTGGGACCTCTGTGACCTCAGAGCCTGCTCTGACCTCAGCCTGCTGTGACCCTAGAGCCCTCTGTGACCTCATGGTCTTAGCTGTACCCCCAGAGTGTACCCCCTTCTGTACAAATGGACTGCCCTGACTGTAAATGTTTTGCTTCATCCAATGGCCATTGCTCAGAAAAACCTTCAGGGACACAGGGTCTTGTTTGGGTGGCGGCAGCATCGGCACAGCAAAAAGCTGGTAATGCAGCTGTGACAGAGACATCAGGCATGGGCATGGAGATGGGAAATGTCGGGCAGATGTGTCCCTGACTGAGTTGTTTGGCTGTTCCTGGAGTTCTTTGCCCCATTCAGAGAGGGAGCTGCTGAGAGATGAGGTAGCTGAGGCCCCAGTTGCAGCTGGGACACTGTCCTGGTGTGACTTTATGATGCTTGTATCCCCACTTGTCAGTTCAGCCCAGAAATAAGTTTTGCACTTTTAGGACTTGTTCCAAGAGTGAAGGGGCAGAGGGCAAGAAGAAGCGCAGAGTTTGTTGTCAGAAACTGCACTTGCTCCCCCACATCCTTCTCCTGGACTGTGTTTTCAGCGGACAGACAAGACAGCAGGATAGAGCTCTCCTTTGCTTTTTAGTTAGTATTTAGCTAGCTGAGGCAGGGAATTTCTCTGGACTGTGGTTTTTCTTTTTTCATGGAACTGTTTCAACCTGCTCTGGACTGAACACCCAGAAGAGCACCAGCAGCTCACACCTGTGGCCCACCAGGCTGGGCCTGGGCTGCGGCATTTCCAGGGCCAGAGGGACTGATAACATAATGAGTTCGCAGAGCCACAGCCCACAGAGGGGACTTTCTGAGTTTGTCATTTCTTCTAAGTGGCGAGAAGTTTGATAGTTTAATAATGTTCTTTTTTTTTTTTCTTTTTTTTTTTTCCTGACAGTGAATGCTTTGTCTGTTAAATATAGAGGTTTTTTCCACTTTTCTCCAAAAAAATCTTTTTTCCAAACTAGCTGGAGGCAGGCCTGCTGTTTTCTCGGGAACCCTTTGGAGGTCATCTCCCAGATTTGCCCTAAACCAAGATAAAAAGAGGAGACCTAGCTGCACAGTAGGAGATTCCCACTGTGCTCAAAGTTTGCCTCTGAAGACTAAGAGGCGAGCTTGTCAGAAATCCTGGAAAACATCAGGCAAATGTTTTACGTTAGTTGTTATGACTAGGTACAAATCTGAAGTGGGAAAAGAGCCTCTCCAGCAGACTAGGTGCCCTGGGTTGTCTTAGCTATTCCCAGAGTAAAGATTACCAATTAAACGCAACTCAAGTTTTTACTCTAGTAGTATAAAAATGTTCTAAGTTTTTCTAAATTTTAAATCTACTTTGAAAAATCCTAACTACTATGGAAAAAGGGAAGAAATTTTTGGGGTTTTATTTGTAAAAAAAAAAAAATCTAAATATTTCTAAAAAGTTGTAAATTCTAAAATGAAAAGCAAAGCCAAAACGTGGTGTCTCAGGAGGCCCTGCCCAGCCGCTGCCTGCCCACCCCTGGCTGTGCCCAGACAAGCAGCTCCGCCAGTGCTGGTGGTAGCACCCACCGGAGCTGAAGCCCAAAGATGTTGCTCAAGCCCTTCCCTGGCAGGAGGGGCTCCTTTCAGTCCTGGCCAGACACCAGGGCCAGCACCTTCGTGGACAGGGGGTCCTGTTCTGGGTGGTGGCAGCGTGCCCCCAGCAACAAGCTGATAGTGCAGCTGTGGACGAGATCTTGGAAACTGGCTTGGGGATGGCTGATGCCCAAACCATTTACAGTTCAAAACCAACAGAAGTCCATTCGTTTAATGTTCATTGGTCTCAATTTGCAATGTTCTTAGTATTTCTTTTCCCACTGGACCTGGATTTCTTCGCCTCTGATGTCAAGAAAGGCCATGCTCCTTGATTTCCTTCTCAGGCTTTTCCAGTCCAGGTGTCTCCAACTATGTCAGGGAGCAGTGTCTGGGGTTGATGTTCCTTGATGTTTGCAGATGATGGTCATAGATTTTTCTCGATGGCCATGATGTTTTTAGGAACCTTTTGTGTTATTCCCAGTTTATTGAGATGTTAAGCTCATTTCCCTTGAGTGGTGTAACATCCCTTAAAAAACCCATTAGAATTCCTTTCCCCAAGGCAAAGGCAAACCAAGCCTGACTAGAGAAATGAAAAAAAATTAAACTTGGTATATTATCCAACACACATGTGCAGTGCAAGCCCCCGGCTGCTGAGTCTCAGGAGAAGGCTGAGGGAAATGCACCCACTACGCCCCCTCTGCGACTCACTCGGCATCTGGTGCAGAAGTTTGGATGCCTGCAGGGGTTGCTTGTCTCCTCTGGGTCTGTTCTTCCTTCCCTCTGGGAGGGCCTTAATGGAAATCAGCTCCATTTCTCCTGCAGACCAGAGTGGCAGGGAGTCACTGCAGGCTGGTGATATTCTGATACAAGGAAACAGGTGTGCATACCAACCAGGCTGTGAAAAGCCAGTGTCCATAAAGGAGCCAGAGGAGCCCTGCAGCTTTGTTTGAATAAAGGGAGAGAGTCCATGGGGACATCTGCTGCTGGGGTTTTCTCTCTCAAAGTTTTGGAGGACACAGCCTCTATTTAAACTCCTGGCCACATGCTGCCCTCTTCCTTTCCCCACTGGCTGAGGTACCAGGCCAGGGGACTGCAGGGACCTTTGTACCCTCTTTTCCTTTTGCAAGGTATTACTTCTGGTCTCCATCCAAACTGTAATAGATAGAATATGAGATGATTGGCTCTTGCAATTAAGGGATGAATATTGTGTGTATCTTAAGAGAAGCTTTATTGATGTAGAGTTATGTTATTGTGATTTGTTGTTTAGATGTTCTCCGTTCTCCCCACAGTCCCCTTCCCCCTTTTATAAATGAAAATTAGTCCAGCCAAATTTAAAATGAAACAATAAAAAGTTATTCAGGATTGAATTCTCTCTGAGCAGGCCAAAAGGAAAAGGACAGCGCTGAGCCCAGGTTCGGCACTGGGTGCGTGACAGGAAGGAGCCTCTCGGCAGAGGTTCCCCTGGACACACACACCACCCTCCCGGACCCTGCAGTTCTTATAGGAAATTTTCTGCCCGAGGCCAGGATTTCAGTCACCTGCCTTTTCTCTCTATTCAGAGTCCCACATATTCATAAAGTTCTTTTCTCTCAGCCGGGGTTGAACAATCCAGGTCCAGCTGTGGACAATTTTTCCTGATGAGGTTATGGGAACCGTGGCATTCAGATGCATCAGCCCGGAGGACTCCAGCGATCCCAATCTTGAGTCGCTACCGGGATGATCAGCTCCCAGGTGTTCCAGTATCTCCTTTTGGGACAGCCCATCTCCAGACTAGCCACATGTATTAATTGTAAATGAGGCATTGTCCAAAAAAAAACTGGCTCTGGTGTAAACAAATATGTGTGTGTGTGTGGGGCGGGGGGGCAGCTTACAGTGCTGGTATGTGTATTGTGTAATAACTAAATATTATACATGCCAAATCATATTTGCCTTGATTCAATACAACAATATTTCATTGGAGTAAATTATAATCATACATCTCACCCCCCACTCCCAATTGTTCCCACCAGACAGCCTGGGCTGTCTAGACAGGTAGAAAGAAGGCGTGTGTGGTATTCACATATCCTTTGAACAGTGAGAGACACAGGCTTTCCCAGGAACATCCTGGGGAAGGCTGTGAGAAAGCTCAGAGAAAGAAGAAAAACAATTATCTCCATTTGCTGCATCTGATGTTTGGCACATGTGGAATGTGTTATGGAGATTGTTTACCAAAGAGGGATTTCTTCATTGGACTCTGGTGATGGTGTTTTGATTTCATTTGACCAACTGGAGCCACTCTGTGTTGGACTGTCTCTAAGGGTCACGGGTTTCTCTTCAGTATAGCAGTAGTATAGTTTTTAGTATAGTATAATATAGGACAGCTTAATAAAGCTTTTATTCATCCTTCTGCAAACATGGAGTCAATGCACGTCATTCCCTGCAGTGGGGGTCCACCACAATAGGTATCGACATATACCCCTTGCATGGGAGAGTAGGAATGGAAAAGCTTGTTGCTGGGGGGACGCGGCATGACAACACCTGACCTTCAAACGCAGCTACAAGAAATAAATTCCACCAATAAACGGCAAAGAAGGGTTGACTGACAGACTTTGGGAGGGCCCAGGGGTGGCTGATGCACCCTCCAGGAATGTAAAAGGTGAAGCATCAATCTTGAAGATGAGGCAGCCACCTGGCAGGTAGCAGCCATGGGGCAGGGGGCCTTCCCAGGCCTGTTCTTCCTTATTAGTCCTTCTCTTATGTTTTTGTAAATGTCTAATAAACGTTTTAAAACTTTTAAAGTGTGCAGTTGTTTCTCACAAAACCCAGTCCTAAGGTGGGATGGTCGTGTTACTCCTGACAGGAATGGGCTCCCTGCAGTTCGAGCTGTTCTGCAGCCTGTGCTTTTCCATACCCTGCTTTGCTCTTCAGGTGGCAGATGGCTTGGGCAGGTCACTCCAGACACACGAGAGTGCCAGGGTAGGCCCAACCCCTAAAGCTCTCACAGAGCTGTGCTTGACTCCAAATTAGGTAAGCATGAAACGGATTTTAAAGACTGTAGCACGTCTGCAGTTTCAAGGGATAGTAAAGTCAGTGCTGCACTCTGAGAACTAAGTCCACAGTCTGAGTTGTTGATGTCATTTAACTAATTTGCAGCTCATTATTGTGATGATGATGATAGTAGCATAGAACATTTCCTTTTTTTTTTCCTCCCCCAAATAAAAAGGTGCCATTCAGCTTCTGGAGAAGAGAACTCTCAAAGGTGCAGTTTGGCAGTCATGGAGGCAGAGGTGGGGGAGAGACAGATATGCCCTGGAGGGATGCTCTGGTGGGCTCCAGCATTTAAACAAGCTACTTTGATACATAGACTGGGCCATTTTCAATACTAAATGGCTGCATTAAATGGTTTTCCAGGCCTTATGCTGGCCAGAAAACTTTTAAAGCCCATGGGAGTTTAGCCTCCATGAGAAAGGCAGCATCAGTTCCTGTGCCAGGTGAGACATAGCGTTCAAAAGCTCAACTTGTGTTTAGAGAAGCCACCAGCCTAATGTAAGCAAGGCCAGAAAGCTTCTCCAGTCCTGCTGAGCGCGTGTGGCAGAGCTGTTGTGTTTTACAGCAGCTCCATGGCAGCGCAGCAGCTGCAGCAGAGGGCTCAGGACAGCCTTGGGGGCAGCAGGGCGGCAGGAAGCTGAGCAAAGCCCCTGCTCTATGACTGAGGCACTTTGTGCAGAAGCAAACAAAGATGGTGACTTGAAAAGATTCCTGCTGTGCTCAAGGTTTGCCTCTGAAGACTGAGAGGTGAGCTTGTCAGGAATCCCAGAAAACATCAGGGAAAAGGTTTTAGGTTAGTTGTTGTGATTAGGCACAAGTCTCCTGTGGGAAAAGAGCCTCTGAAGCAGGCTGTGAGTCATAGGGTGTCTTAGTTTTCAGAAGAGCATAGATTACCAATTACATAGAATTTTAATTTTTATTCTAGAAGTGTAAAAATATTTTAGGTTTTTCAGAATTCTAAAACTACTTTGAAAAATATAGAACTGTTGTGGGAAAAGGGACAAAATATTTGGAGAATTTTCTATGAAAAATATTTCTAAATCTTGCAAAATGAAAACTAAACACAGTAGCTGCTGGTCTCAGGTGCCCGAAGCCCAGCTGCTGCCTGCCCAGCACTGGCTGTGCCCAGACAAGCAGCTCCGCCAGTGCTGGTGGGAGCACCCAGGGACCAGAGCTGAAGCCCAAAGATGCTGCTGGAGTCAGGCCCTACCCTGGCAGGAGGGCTGTACCTCCTGTCCTGGCTGGACACCAGGGCCAGCACCTTTGGGGACAGAGGGTTCTGTTATGGGTGGTGGCAGCATGTCCCCAGCAGTAAGTGGGTAATGCAGCTGCGGAAGGCATGTTGGAAACTGGCTTGGGGAAGGCTGATGACAGGAACAGATCTGCATGGCTGAAGTCATCTGGTCTTGTGAAGCTGCAGAGGCGCTGCTGTGGAGAGAGGAGTGGCTGAGGCCCCAGCTGCCAGTGGCACACAGGGAGCCTCCTGCACAGCAGGGCCCAGAGCTGGCAGGGCTCCCCAGCACGGCTGGAGCGGCTGGCACACCTTGGCCCAGCTGGACAGCTGCCCCTCAAGGCCCCGGCGAGCAGGGGACGGCTCTGGGCAGGCTCCCTGGCCAGGAGCGGGCCCCAGAGCGCCTCTGCCTTTCAGGGGCAATCTCATCCCCGCTCTTTCTCCTCCCCACCTTGCTGTGCCTCTGCCCTGTGCCCCTGGGGCTGCTCTTGGCCAGGCAGCCTCAGTGGGAGCCAGCACTGGCTGCAGCCCCAGCGGGCCCCAGGACAAGGCCCAGCAATGAAGGGGCCAAGGAAAGCACTGGGCACAGCAGAACCTTCAGCCGAGTTCTTTGGACAGCCATGGACTGGCCACAGCTCCACTGCAGCCTGACTGGAAATGTTTCCCATCTACATTAGACTTTTAAAATAAACTGTTTGAGGGAAAGATGATGAAAACACTCACCGTTTTCTCTTGCAGTAACACCAGATTCCAACACAGGTGAACATGAAGGAAAACTCCAAAAAAAGCAGACCTGCAATTAACTGTAGCAAACAGTGTGTTTCCCAATAGCAACGACTTCTGAGGCTGTTCTGGGCATCGGGAACAGGTGTTGTGGGGCCGGCAGCATCTGTGGGAGCAATGGGGAGCGTGAGCCTGCGCTGTGCTGCACTGCTGAGCTGGCAGCACGGTGGATGTGGCCAGGACGTTCTCTTTTTTGCCCCAGAGCTGGGGCCTGCAGGCACCTTGCCACCCCTTGGCACAGGCTGTGCCACCCAACAAAGCCCAGCAGGCCGGCAGGAGAGCCCGGGGCCAGCACAGCTGCTTGGGCAGTCACTGCTTTGAGGGACAGGGACCAAACCCATCCCTGAACAGCCCCTGCCAGCCCTGGCCCTCCCTGCCCCGCGACAGCTCCCCCAGCCCCAGGGGACAGAGCCAGGCCCTGTCAGGACCCAGTGCAGCCCCGGCCCAGTCGGGAGCCAGGGCTGGCTCTGGCCCTGGGCTCACAGCAGGGCTCCCACTCGGGGCTGCTCCTGTGCCTGGGGCCTCTGGGCACTCAGGGCTGGCTGCGGGAGCAGCTGCAGAGGGAGGGACATTGTTGGTGCACGAGTCCCGATTCCCCCGGGCTGTGAACGAGCTCCAGAGGCCTGGAAGCCGAGGCACCTCCAGCTTTGGCTGCTGCCGGGCCGTGCAAGGGCAGGGCCTGGGGGAAGAGCTGCTGCCACACAGCCCCGCCGAGGGCTGAGCCCGGCACAGCAATCACCTCCTGTGCCTGTGCCCGTGCCTGGCATTGCCTTCCTTCCTGCAGCAGAGGTTGGCACTGAGCCACTGCTTCCTCCGGGATGTGCCTCCTTCTGCAGAGATGTTTGGTCCATTTCTTGAGAAAGGAAAAGAGACAGCTGGATCAGATGGAACCATCCGCCATTGAGGGAGGTGGCATCTTCAGGAGGCAATGCTATTCAAATCATGGTTAAGGACCAGAAAAACATCTGGGTTTTGGGACTGGGCCATGGCCCTCCCTCCTTCAAGCACCTGCCAGGCCTGGGCAGAAGTCATAAGGGGATGACCCAGGGCGAGGGCACACCCGTGCATGGTTCTGTCCTGGCACCTGCAGCGATGCCCCCCTGGCCGAGCTTTGGGCTCTGAGCTGGCAGCTCTCGCAGGGGGAAAGGCCTTGACCTACCCTCAGCATCTCCCAGAGCCTCCATCCTGAACGTGGGTTGGGAAGCCAGATCACTTTCACCAGCAGGGTTATCTGCAAAGAAAGGCAGGGCAGAACAGCTCCTGTGACACTGTAGGAGATCCTCAGGCTGCACCCAAGGCTCAGCCCCAGGACACAGCCCTGGGCTCGGCCCCTTCCCTCTCTGCTCTTCTCTGGGGCTGCACAGATCACACAGAGGGACACTCTGGCATTGCACACAGGAATAAAACTGACAGCTAAATGTTCCTTCCTCCCACTGACAGTGATCCTGTGGGATCACTCAGGGCTCCAGAAAGGGAGCAGGGCGAGGCTTCCAGATTCCTTCAACCCTGGGATGATGTTAAGGGAAGTGGAAGATGGGTGAGCTCTTGTCACACTGACTCTGATTTTTGTCTCAGGAAAGGCATATTGAAAACTTGCCTCCAACATCCTCCAAGAACTTCAAGCCATTTTCCAGCACAGCTTCCAAATAATCCAGGTTGCCATCCAAATCTAGAAGTGAGCACAGATCAGAACCATTTCCTTGGTGTGCTGTGGTCCCCTTCTGCCTTTAGGATCTGAGTACTTGCAAGGGGGTTGGGTAAGGCCTTGGGATCCAGATGTGAATGGAAAAGGCCAAAGGAGCACAGGGCCTGGGGAGCTCAGGGCTTGCTCCTGGTCACTGTCCATCCTCTTTGCAGGCCCTGGCAACATCCATGGATGGGCAGCTGGAGCAGCCTGGGGCCCTGGGGGTTCTCTTCTTCCCACAGAGGAAACCCTCCCTAAAGCCCAGGGGAAAACTGCAGCAGGCAGTTCCACAGGTATCCTTGCCTCCCCCTGTCCCTCCTGCCCTCTTACTGCTGGGACAAATCCCTCAGCCCAAGGGCACATAGCCAGGCCCTCTCAGGACACCCTGGAGCCTTGCTCTCCCCCTCTGCCCTTTCCCCACCATGGGCACCCCGTGCAGTCACTTCCAGAGCTCGGGACGTGTCTCCCACAGAGGGACCCCAGCAGGACTGCTCAGTACCGGAGTGCCCCGGGCATAATAATTCCTCTGGGCTGTGCCGGCCTTGTCCGGGCTGTGCCCACGCTGCCAAGCAGCAGAGAGGGCAGCTCAAGGCTCAGCAGGGCTCAGGCCCAGAGGCACAGCAATTACCTCCTGTGACTGTGCCTGGCATCGCCTCCCTTCCTGCAGCAGAGGCTGGCACAGAATCTCTGCTTCCTCTGGGAAATGCCTCCTTCTGCACAGGCTCTCCTTTCATTTCCCGACAATGGAAAAGAGACAGCTGGATCAGATGGAAACATTCCGCATGGGGAATGGGGAAGGTAACATCTTGAGGAGGGAATATTTTTGAAAGGTATGGATAAGCATCGGAAAACACTCAGGATGTTGGGACTGCCCTATGCTGGTCCCTTCTCCAAACAGCCCCTCAATCTGATGTGCTCAGAGACAGGGAAACTTCAGGGGATCTCAGGGTGTGCATGGCCCATGGTGCAGTTTGGGGTCCGTGTCAGCTGGTGCCAAATGCCCTTCTGCAGAAGCTGGGGAGAAGCTGCAGCCAGCCCAGGCTGGGAAACAGCCCTGCAGGCCAGGAGAGCAGCAGCAGGGCAGTGAGGCTGCCATGGATCCCTTCCCGCTGTGCTGGGCAGGGCCTGTCCAGATGTGCAGGGCAAGGCCCCGTCTGCTGAGTCCCAGGGGAAGGCTGAGGGAAATGCACCCACCTTGTCCTGCCTGTTCCATTTCCTTCAGCATTTTCCACATGACTTCAAATGGTTTCTGGGATTTCTTGTCTGCCATGTGTTTGGTGTTTCCTATTGGAGGATCTTAACAGAAAGTTGTTCCATTTCCCAGGAATAGACCCCACAAAACCATTGCTCAGCCTGTGGGTTCAGCAGGGACACACTACTCACCCCTGTGATGGGAGCTGGGTTGGTGTGCATCATCCATCCCAGGAGCTGGAGAGATCCTCTCTGCAGAAACGCCTGTAACTGAACAGGCACAGGAGCTTCTGTCACCTGGTTCCTTCCAGATGGTCAATGATTATGAGACACTGAGAACATACCTGCAGGATGCCCAGAGGGCTTCAAAGCGTCATACCGCCAGGCTAATGGAGAAGCCTTTGGGGCATCCCCATCTAGAAGCAAACCAAGATGAGAAGGTTTCCATTGTGTGCCAGGGCTGGCTCTGGCCTCGGGCTCACAGCAGGGCTCCCGCTCGGGGCTGCTCCTGTGCCTGGGGCCTCTGGGCACTCAGGGCTGGCTGCGGGAGCAGCTGCAGCAAGAGGGACATTGTTGGTGCAGGAGTCCTGATTCCCCGGGGCTGTGAACGAGCTCCAGAGGCCTGGAAGCCGAGGCACCTCCAGCTTTGGCTGCTGCCGGGCCGTGCAAGGGCAGGGCCTGGGGGAAGAGCTGCTGCCACACAGCCCCGCCGAGGGCTGAGCCCGGCACAGCAATCACCTCCTGTGCCCATGCCTGTGTCCGTGCTTGGCATCGCCTTCCTTCCTGCAGCAGAGGCTGGCACTGACCCACTGCCTCCTCCAGGAAGTGCCTCTTTCTGCACAGGCGTTTGGTCAATTACTTGAAAAAGGAAGAGGAACAGCTGGATCAGATGGAAACATTCCCCATTGGACAGGTGGCATCTTCAGGAGGCAATGCTTGTGAAACTCACAGGTAAAGATCAGGAGAATGCCCAGGCTATTGGGGCTGGGCCAGAGCACTCCCTTGTGAAAACAGCTGCGCCTCCTGATCTGCTCAGAGACTGGGAAATTGCAGAGGATCTCAGACCCGTCCACAGCTGCTCTGGGCATCCTGTGCCAGGGCCTCCCCCTGCTCACAGGGAACAATTCCTGCCCAATATCCCATGTGGCCCTGCCCTGCGTTGGGTTGAAACCACTCCTGGTGTCCTGTCACTCCAGGCCCTTGCCCAAAGCCCCTCTCCAACAAGCCTGTCAGTCCATTCAGTGTGAATGCAGATAAATGTCAAGTTGAGTATTTCCTGCTGAAAATCCAGTTATGAAGATTCATTTTACAACAGAAATTACAAAGTAAAGAAAATATGTAAGACGATGCCTCATCTGAATTATGGCCCAAATAATTAGGGTCACTTTCCTTGGCAGTAGTCTAAATGGGGTAAAGACCTAAAAACAGAAATATGAATACCCGTGTTCAGGATCCTTCAGTCAGATAAATGACACCACAAAACTGTACAAGTGTACAACTGATTCTTTAGTTGCTTAATCACAGTAAATTGAGCATGACGAAATTTAACTCATCTGAGTTAAACAACACTGAAATCTGACTGGCATTAGGTCAGCTTCCAGACAGAATGAATTTTATGGCAAATTGATTACTATACTGTAACCATAATGTATGTATTCCTGTTCCATTGTAGCACAGACTTTCTTTATGCCTGTATCTTATCTGAAATTATTTACTTCAATCTGCTGTGGAGCAGAGTTGAGTCTCTGTCCTCTTCTGTCAGCCACAGTTGCCATCAGATTCGTCTGCCCAATGCTCATCCCATGCACCAGGAAAGCAGCAGTGTGCTCATCCGGAGCCTCCCTCAGGGGGCTGCAAAGAAATCCATTAAAGAGATAGTAAATTACTGTGTAAATTACAAATAGCAAAGCAAAGGACTCATTTAGTGACCAGCAGTTTTACCACAAGGCTAAGTGACAGTCTGAAGCAAAGTTGAGGAAATTATCACATTTTTACACATGATTGCTCTTTGCAAACTGTGCTTTATTGAAACATTAAATACTTGAAGTGAAAATGAAACAAGCAACAGACACAGTGAGTTTGATAACATCAGATGTGCCTTCACACAGCACTCTTCACCTGACAATCTCTGCCAAGTCACTGCTTCCAAGATGCACAAAGCTTCATCAGTCATCACACTGGAGGAATGCAGTCTCCTTCATCAGCCAGCAACATTCAGGCTGTTAGCTCAGGAAACTTCCCTCACAAATAATATTTTACCTTTTAACAGCTAATTGAGGCTTCACAAAAAGAAAATAAAAAGACTCTCAGCCGTTGTGTATTACCATGCCTTTAACCTAATATCTTTATTCATTTTTTGCCAATTCTTATTCACAGATTAATTTCAAAAGTCCATTAACTTACACAAGTGAGACAAACTGAGATGCTGCTTTGAGACTGAGATCCATGACAGGGAAGTATTTTGCCAGAAAAGGTTTCTTTGAGTCATCCAGAACTCTGACATAAGCTTTAACTGTTTTTCCAATCTCCACCTGAAACAGATATATCCAGTCATTTTGCATTCACACCACTCTTATTTATTCGCATAAAAATTTTCACTTGATTTTGTATTATACTTGTAGTAGGCTAGTGGAGTTAGAGCCCCAAGGTTAGACTAACACTGATTTTAAACACTAATCCCTGCCAGCTGGAGTTAGTGTCAGATGAAATGAATGAACTCAGGTCCTTCAGCTGGCAAGGGCATAATTAAAACATCCAGAAATATCAACACTTCTTTTGTTTAAGGTGCACCCAAGCTGGCAAGAGCAATGAGCTGGACTTTCTTCTGTTCAGTTTTAAAGCCTGACATATGGAAAATGACCCTGGGGCAAAACCTACTCCTAAAAGAATTGCTCACATGCACTTTAAACAGGAGGAAATGTAAATGAGCATGTCCATATAAATTAGGGATTAATATTACTATGTAAATGCAAAAGCTGAGATTTCTGCCACACAGAACACGAACAGATACCTGATACCCTGAGACCCTTATAACCTGAAGGGATAAATTTGGGAGGGAGAAACAGAGACACAGGGAGGTGTTCTCTGTTGTAGCATCTTGTCCATGTGTGATCTCTGTGCTCAGGACCAGCAGCACAGGAGTCAGGGCAGGCTGGATCAGCTCCTAATGCTGCTTCCAAGGCACTGACCTTGCCAACAACTCACACGTGAATTCCTGGATATCAGACACATGAATTTCAGCTTCAGCTGGGGCAGGGAAAGCCAGACACAGGTCTTGAATCATTACAGTCACTGATCCTGGGAGCAGAGGCTGCACCTGCAATGCCAAAAGAAAACTGCCTTATAGCACTTCTTTTGTCTCTTGTTCACAGGATAAAATTTGTATCACTTTCAGGGCAGAAGCAGTTGGATGCAGAAATCTCCAAGCTTACACAAGGAGAATCCTTCCACCGAAATAAAAATCAAGCTCTAAAATGTATGTAAAAAGTATTAAGCTACTGAGCTAGTGCAAACAGCCCCCAGGCACCAAGTGAATTA